CTCGGCCTCCCAAAGTGCTGGGATTACAGGCTTGAGCCACCGCGCCCGGCCCCAGCTAATTATTTTTAGTAGAGATGGGTTTTACCATTTGGCTTGGCTGGTCTTGAACTCCTGACCTCAGGTGATCCGCCCGCCTCGGCCTCCCAAAGTGTTGGGATTACAGGCGCGAGCCACCGCGTCTGGTGAAAAGTTTCTAATTTTTTCATGAAGTTTACGCTAGCAACTACTTTTGTGAATTGTGCTTGCTTGTCAGATCTAGGAACTCTTCCCCAAGCTCTAGACGTCAGAAATTCTGTTTTCTTCTAAAAGTTGTATAGTTTCATTCATACATTTTACGCCTCAGTCTGTGATCATTTTGAGTTAGAATTTGCATTTGCAGATAATATCATGACCCATGTAAAAAATACAAGGATTTTACAACAGACAACGGCAAAACGTCAAATAAACCCTCAAACTAATGAGTTCAGCGAGGTCTCAGGATAACAAAATCAAGATAGAATTCATCACGTTTGTGTAGACCAACAGTGAATACGTGGAAAACGATGTCAAAAACGCAGTGCCACAGTTGCTTGACGTGAAATACTATACACTTCAAAGGTGCAGAATCTGTATGCTGAAATTACGAAATGCTGGTGGAAGAAATCAAAAGACCTAAATAAATGGAGAAGCCACCATGGACGCAGATGAAGGACCGAGCCAGCGATGCCCGTGCAGTTCCCATCAAAATCCCAGAAAGGTTCGTAGACAGAAGCGTATCCAAAATCTGCAGAGGTGAGCGCAACATCACAGAGGACCCCGAGGCCTCCTTCCTCACAGCTGGAAGAGCGGCCTGGCGGACGAGGGAAGGTGGAAAGCCGTTCCCCAGCGCCCCGCGCCCCGCGCAGTCCAGCTTTGCCTTTTAAAGGGGAAGCAAGTAGGGTCGAAAGCAGCGTCGCCTTTGAACTGGCACCTGAAGCGCGAAGGGCGCCGGCCGGGTGCAGCTGCGGGGTTGGGGCGGGGACCCGCCTAGGACGGGCGGGGAAGTCACGCCCACACCGAGGACGGCCGCGCCCCCGCCGAGCCCCGGCCACGCCACTTCCGCCGGAAGCTCAGTTCAGCTTCCTGAAGGAGTTGGTCCTGCACGTCCGGAAGTTGCGTTTCTACTAGGGAAAGGTCCGCAAACTCCTAAGGTCACTTTCTGAAGCCGGTCTCAGGACATTCCGAGGTGAGCTCGATCCGGACCCTGCGGCCAGAGCGTCCCTGGCTCTGGGGTGGCCGCTGGCAGAAGAGGAGGACAGTCTCTGTTCCGGAACGAAGGCAGCGCGTGCAGGCTGTTTCCGGGGACCCGAGGCCGCTGCACCGCTCGCCCCGCCCCTCGCACGGCCACGTCTCTGCCGGAGCATCCGGGCCGGGCGGCCTCCTTGGCTGCCGCAGGAGCAGGGTGAGAGGCGGGGGGGACGCGGCGCCTCGGGGCTCTGCTTCCCGCCGTGCATGGGCCGGGGAGGCCCGAGGGGCTGCGGCGGAGGCCGGGCGTGGGGCAGCGGGGCCTGGGCCCGTCCCTGCAGCGTTGCGGGACGGCCCCGTTCCAGTCGCCCCCTCCTCGCTGCGGTGGCCTCGGGCCTGGGCGCCCCGCTTCAGCTGCAGCGGAGCTGACTCTGTACATGCCGGTGCCCTCGAGCCCTCCTGGATGCTTGTCTGCGCCTGACGAGCGCGGCATGTCCTGAAGCTGTCCAGTGCCACCGCTCGGGCAGTGCTTGTGCCTTTAGTCTGGCCCTTTGCGGCTGACAAGCGTGACTTGGTGTCGGGTGGTTCGTGGGAAGCCGGGGTTTCAGGAGTCCGAGCACTTCCTTGTTTGCCTTTGTCGCTGGCGGACTTGTCTCCATTCCAGGTGCCCAGAGCGAGTGGGGCCGGGCGTTGTCACGGGTATGAACCCGACGAATGTCAGTCGTGTGGCGGGTCCTGGTCATTGTGGGCCTGGGTCCCTGCCCCCGCCGAGCTCACCTAGCACAGGGACGCCCAGGGTCGCCACCGAGAGGGTACCGGGCGGTGGTTGGTGTGTGGGAGCCTGGGGGGCGGGCGACTTCTGTGCTAAGGCCTCTATGACGAGAAACAAGTCAGGCAAAATTGTGAGAAAAACACGTCTCAGGCAGAAAGTTTGAAGATCCTGAGGGCGGAGAAAGGTTGGCGTTTTAAGGCGGAGAATGTGGCTGGAGTGTAATGGCACAGGGGGAAAGCGATGGAGGTAAGGATGTTGGTGTAGGCAGATGCTGGATTGGTAAGAGGTTGGAGTTTATTGTCACTGGGACAGTGTAAGCCATTTACAGGTGACTCGTGGATTTTTTTTTTAAGAGACTGGGTGTGTTGCTGTATTGCCCAGGCTGGTGTGGAACTCCTGGCCTCAAGCGACTCCCCCACCCCAACCTCCCTAAGTGCTGGGGTTACAGGTGTGAGCAGCCACACCCGTCGTCGTGGGTTATTTTGAATTGTCTTTTAAATGACATGAACATAGCCCTTTATAACCCTTTAATAGCTTTCCGGGCAGTATAGAAGGAAATAAATCATCTGACTTTACTCAGATTGAAGAGGAGCTTCCCCCCCCCTCCCGCCCATTGCCTTAAGAAATATGTAGCTATGCCGGCGCAGTGGCTCACGCTTTAATCCAGCACTTGGGAGCCGAGACATCCTGGCCTACCACGGTGAACACCCCGTCTCTACTAAAAATACATATACATTACCGGCCGTGATGGCGGGCACCTGTAAGCCCGCCTTTATCTTAACTCTTCTCACGGAGAGGTGATAGGCAGGAGAATGGCGGGAACCGCTGAGTGGGAGCTCCTGCAGTAGCCAAGATCGCCACTGCTCTCCTAGCCTAGCTGAGAGAGCCAAATTCAGTCTCATATATAAAAAAAATATAGAGAGCGTCGGGCGCGGCTGCTGATGCTGTAATCCCAGCACTTGGAGGCCGAGGGGGGCGGATTACGATGGTCAGGAGTACGTCGACGACCATCATGGCAACACGGCTGAAATGCGTCTATCTGACTAAAAGAGCTAAAAATTAGCGCAGGGCGAGGCGGCGGGGCGCCTGTAGTCCCAGCTACTCGGAGGATGAGGCAAGGAGAATGGCGTGAACCAGGAGGCGAGCTGCAGGAGCCGAGATTGCCCGACTGCACTCAGCCGGGCAACTAAAGCGAGACTCTGTCTCGAAGAAAAACAAAAAACAGAGAAAATGTAGCACTTTCCCAACGTGAGAATGCTTACGTTGGCTTTTACTTAAGGATTTT